ATGTTTTACATGGACATAAGTTGCCTGTCTATTCTCTAAAATGTAATTTTAGTTTGAATACCAAATGTGACCCGAAATGTGTAAGACTTGAAAAGACTAATGAATTAAAATATATTGGCTTAATAATAGATTACAGACTGAGACGGGCAATCGTTCTATGTATTTCATGAAGGCAGGTAAATATTAGAAGTAAATTATAAAAGCATTATTTATTTACTATGAACATTTGTACTAGATATAATATGCAAAATGTTAATATACATTAACTGAAGTGTCAAAAAGTTTTTAGACAAAAAAGCGCCTTGTATACTGGTCTTGATTTATGTTGTATATAAAATATTAATATTAATCAGTTTGATAATTTTAAGTCATTCAAAATTTATCATAATTTTATGGGTTTTTCAAAGATAATAGAATTATAATAAGGCTGTTATGTAAAATTGTACTTAATTAACAATTGTTTTTCAACTTTCTTGTATTCTTAAGATGATGAGCTCCCCACCACAAGCTTTGCTTTTAAGGGGTGCTGCAATATGCATCCTACAGTTTTTTATGTCATTCTTTTGTGTATTATTTTTGTTGACATTACATTCAAGTCCATTATTATTATTGTTATTATTATTATTCTCCTGTTCACTGTTAGAACACACCAAAAGTAATGTGGGATATTAGCAGTTTCATTGTTTTCAATGACATTTCATTTTCATTCAAATTTTTTTATACAAATTAATCATATTTTGAATGGCTGAAGACTGAAGTTGTGCTTCAAAAATTTGTTATTAATAGTTGTGGTAATTTTGTGTAGGCATGCGTGTGTCGATGAGTGGGCGTAATGAATATTTAATGCATAACTTTACAGAAAAACTATAAATTAGTATTAAAATATTGAATTTTATTTTATTTAATTCCATTTATAAATTAGAATAAAATTGTTCTAATATACTCTATTCCTGAGGAGAACATACTGGTTACGTCATGTGGAATAAGGTCCGTCGACGACCGACTAAGTTGTAATTTAAACTTCAAATAACATAACTTATAAATGAGAACATGATCTATGCTAAATGGTCGGCTTTTATTTTATATTTTAGTTTTAAAGGGAGATATTATGAGCATTTTTAATTTGTGATATATCTCACCCATTTCTTGCTTGAAAATTAAATTATCGAAAAAATTGTCAACGCTTAAGCAAGGATGAAGTTATTACCTTAAAGTATGATAATTGGTCAATTTGCTCTAATATAAAAACTAACAACACACTATTGAAACTAGTTAACATAAATATGTCATTTCTTATGTGTGTAAGATGGTGACAAAAAATGCATGGGAAGGTAGCGTCCTCTTATGAAATAATTATAAAAACAAAAAAAAATAATTGGATGCCTAAATTTCATAATACCAGAGTATCTTGAGTTTGTTAGAAAAATATTGTTATATAAAGCAAAGTGAGTGTTGAATTAGTTTATACAGAAAATTAACTTACAATGTACGTATACATTTTTAGTTGTATATTTCATTTATAAATATGGTGACAATATGCAGTGTGAAGTTTACATTATATTTTATTAAGCCCTGGTACCAAACTTGGAGCAGTTTAAAAAAAAAAAATGGTTGTTTGGCCATAGCTTATGTAGGCTCATCTAAATATAACATATCAATAAATAGTATTGAAAATAATTATAACTTACCTAGGCGTTTGCTATATATCTAAAAAAAAAAAATATAAATAATTACATAAATATAATCTAAAAATGTATATGTTATTAGTTTATACCTCCATAGCTTCATAAAGCTGCGTTAGTGTATCTCCTGACATTTTAATCGAGCTTGCTTTGCCAAGGGTGGTGCCAGCCAAATCCTTCACTTTGGTAAACCCTAATTTGCCAAATTCATTGGAGATATGTGTAAATCTTAAAAAAAGAACAAGAATATATACATATACATGTTAATATTAAGAATATTTGTAAAATATTTACTTTGTTGTGTCCTTTTGTGATATGATACTTATTATAATCGTAATCGGTGCATCGGAGTCGGAATGTTTCGGACAAAATACATCCTGTAAGTGTTATAATGATTATTTGATGAATAAATGTAATGTATATTTATTTATAATTAATCAAATTGGTTTAATACACATCTTTTGTCTTAAAAGTAAAAGTAAAGTACATGGCAAAAAAATGTTCATGGGCTCATATTTATCTTTATTAGACTGATATTATGTGAATTAAAAATATATATGAGGTGAATCTATTTATCATTAGAGTACTTATCAATTCAGTAACTAGAGTTCTTTTAAATATCAAATTGAAAAACAGTGATTAAAATGAAATCATAGCTCGTTCGAATGTCCCATAAACTTCCCATATAGGTACGTCATAGTTGAATTATTAATATATATTACTTACCAATGATGACGAACTCATAGTTTCAAATATTATTAATGAATTGATTTTTTTTTCAAATAAAGACAGAAGAAAATGATTCACATAAACATTCGACCAAGACTGTTGTCAATCAACTGTAAAATAAAACATATATTGTAATAAGTAGGTACATTAGAATGAATATAATATAAATATCTTTTCATATCTAATTGGTAACAGCATATTAAAATAGTGAATTTAGTAATGTCATCTAACACACACTACTCATACTCACTATAGGACAACGACGAGGTGGTGATCCAAAGATGGCGTCAAAACTTAAAAGCACTCAGCACAGAATGTTTTACAGTTATGTCAGTTGCTGTAGCCGACACATAGAAGTTTAGGACTTACTATAGTTCCGGATTCTAGTACTACGGTCAGCTTTGAAAAAGCAAGGATAAAGAAAATAAATGTTAAGACTATATTGGAAATTTGGAAATTCGTAGGCGAATAAAATATGTTAATATAAGTTATGGGGACGTATACAATTATAAGACCGTCATTGGTCCATGATTCGTGTGACGTGGCTGCAGTAAGTTGCTGACGTGGCCGGTGTGCAGCTACAGACATCTATACTGGCTAGATAAGGTACTCCTATATTTTTACATTGTTATCAAGTGAAGCACAGCTGTTGACGGACGCCATTTTCTCGGGGGGCAAAACACTTTATTCATTATACAAAATGTGTTAGGAATAGCATCCTTTTAATGGTAAAATAAAATAGTAAATGTAAGATTACTTATATCATTTTTGTTTTTTTTAAACCACAGGTTTAGAAATAATAAAATGCAATACAAAATAAATCATAATTAATCTTATTTGTCATAATATGAAATAAAATGCAATTGCCACCGACCTTGATGCTTCAATTCATGGTGGGAGTTCGCTATCTAGTACTATATAGATATCTGTGTGTGCAGCCGATGCAATCTCCGAGAGTGGTATAAATGTCCTTGGGTACAAAAAATTGTTATATACTATTGGCGGGAATTTTGAATTGTTATTGGTGCTCTGATTCTTATTTATATCGTTTAATATAATAAATTACGGTGAAAGCTTATAATTTATAAATTATGAATTTCTGTACAGAAACTTAGTCGGGAAGGATGTCCTATGCACAGTTCCCATATGTCCTGTATACCCATATAATCATTCATCAGTGTTGCTATATATACCAATTACGGCATATTATTATCATTACCTATAATTTATATGGGGGTACGTTGTCTTATGATAGAAGTATTGAACTTTGATGATTAGTGTGTGTATTATTATATGGTTTAATTAATCATACTGTTGGTAGTGTTATACCATTATATTAAACACATTTTAGACGGTAAAATATTAATATTCTTTTTTTATTTTTTAAATACACATTTGAAAATACACACAAAGTGGTAACAAATACCCACGAAACATTATTATAATATAAATTAATTAATAATTTATTGTATAGGACTTTATATGAGTACCCTTTTCATGTAATTTTGTGGTATTACCTAGCTATATTAAATGTTGAATTATTTATCTATGCAATTGCTGAATGCTATAACATTAATGAGTATAAAAACAAAGTAAGTAGGTACCTAATTGTGTAATTAACTTTTTTTTTGATAACTTAAACTCATTATGATTGATTAAAGATAGGTACCATGTTTTTTATTTTTATATTCAAAACATTTAAATTATTTTCGATCATTGTTTCCTCTTAAATTCGTAACTTTCATATTTCGAGTCAATGCTTCATTCGTGCGATGAAATTATTCGGCGCATTCGAGTTGGATAACAATTATTATTTAACACTAGTTAGTAGTTGAGGCCTCATTCTTTCGTGTACCCTTCCCCTACACTAGTTAGGTACCACCTTTTTCCAGCGCGGTATTAAAGTATATTTGTCCCGTATATTTTTCGGTGAGTACCTACTACGCCTTAGTACTTATACTATGCCAACATTTTCTTTCCTATTTTAACAGACTTCAGATTCAGAGTGTCTATAATCTCTTTAGACTAATATGATAATGTATTAAAAATATAGGTACAATAAAAAGATTTAATGTTGTATACATTTTTACAAACACATAAGAGATTTTATTAAACAGAATTTTATTTTTATGTCTAAGGTTTGATAATCTAAAACAATAAATCTCACACTGTAACCAAATAATCTAAAAAATATATACACACAGTTATTTTTACAGACATTTGAAGTTCAAACTTGGAAAAAATTACATATTAAAAATCAAGAATTACGATTTTGGTTGTTTAGTTGTAAATTAATAAAAAAAAAAAAAAAAAAACATCAACATTTTCTGGGTTGAGACAAATCTTTATGGTGTTCAAAGTAATTCAACCTGAAATAAAAAAAAATATATATTACATAATATTATTAAAATATTATATTAAATATATATAGGTAGTAATTTATTAAAAAATAAAAGAAAAAGGTTTATATTATGTTCCACACTTGACTTATTAAAATAATGTCAATCAAATATTTACCAGGATGGAATATTGTTGTTTGAAGATGTACAATATCAAATAACATCTACTTGACAGTTGTATTGTCATATTCTATTGCTTTTCATTGTCCGCCGTAGCACCATTAAGATCCATTTTTTCCATTGACATATCGGCCAAATTCAACCGAGCGTTTAAATGGTCGTTTGGACTTAACTTGATTGCCATTTCATAATATACTTTGGCTTGTTCGACAAGGCCACGTTCTTCAAATAATTCCCCCATATTGCAATATGCATCGGGAAAGTCCGGCCTTATTGCTATTGCATGTTTGTATCTGTGGAAAAATGAATTATGTGATTAATACTGTAAAGATTTCACGAATTGTCCATTACAGAATTCATAATAATATAAAACAATGTTCTTTGTAAGTTTAAACATATATCCGAGATTATAGAGTTTAGCCTATAATTCATATTTAAGAATATTCTTGTTCTTAATAAAGAAATAATTTTTAGTTGTAAATTACTAAGTATTTAGTTGCAAGAGAAAAAAAATGTTTTTAAATTAAAAATCAAAAATTATAGAAGTTGGTCGATAACTTGTTTGTTGTTAAATTAGAAGACGTATTGTTTTAAATTTGACTTATTTTAAATAGTTTTCCAAAGAAAGACATACATGACATATTATTTTCAAGTTTAAGCATCCTATTAAAAGGTACCTAAATGTAAATATTTTAAATTTATTTTAAGTTGGAGTAAACGTCATATACCTATTATATATAATACTAGCTGATCCCGTGCACTTCGTTACCCGTTAAATGTATCAACTCTATATGACTCAAACTTTGTTCAATTCGTTATTTAATATTCAGTGTATGGTGTTTAAAATTTATCTTAACTTTTCCGTTGCCCGGAATAAAAATTTTGATTCGCAGCAGTACCTATATTATCAGGTAGGCAATCAGCTACCTGTGGTAGATCGTGGACCCCGTGATGTTTGTACGTAACTTTATAATTTAACACTTAAGTATGAAAGTTATACCAAGTATGTTTCTGAAATTTTCCTAAACGGTTGGACTAATTGTGAATGTTGAGTCAGTCAACCAATATTTCCTCCTCGTCCACGAATACGTGGCATCGTGATTGTTTTATGTACCTTATTACATAACTTATATGTGAGTATAATACGCTCAATATTTACGTAATTGTGATACTTAACACAGCGTACAAAAAAACTAAATGCATTTAATGAATACACATATTTGATATTTCACGGCAAATAATAATAGTTTATAATAATTTTAAAACCCATGGCAACCATTTATAAACAAAAATTTCCACCGTAAATCTCTAAATCCCCGTTTGAGCACATTCAATGGTTAGACCTAGAGTGATGATTTGTAGCCTATGTGTTATTCTGATGTATAAGCTATGTTATTGTAAAGTTTCATTAGAATCCATTCAGTAGTTTTTACGTGAAAGAGTAACAAAGTCACAGACTTTTGCATTTATAATATTAATAGGATATGATATATGGTTGCCATGGTAATATGGAGACACACACACACACACACACATACACACATACATTCATTTTTATATAGATAGATGTTTCTTATTGTAACTTGTACAATTGTATATTATACATTAATAAGCTCATTGAAGTAAAAGAAAATCGTATTTTCTGAAAGTATTAAAATGAAAAAATATTATTAAGACAATTTTTAGAGGGTCTTTTTATAGCTTTTTTTTAAACTTATAGTTGTTTTGATTAATTATTACTTTTTAAGAGCCAAATCGTCATGTCCCAGTTTATACAATGCTAGGCCCAATTTCCAATGACCAAATGCATTATTCGGGTTCATAAGTACCGCACAATCGAATGAGTTTCTTGCATTTTCATAATCATCCTTCTCCAGATACAAATTCCCCATGGACATGCAAGCATCGTACGCATTTAAATGATCTTTAGTTTTTTTGTATGCATCAAAAAGCTCTTCGTATACGTCAATTCTATCCGGATTTAATTTTCTACATTTTTTAAGATAAAATATAGCTTTATGGTAATTTTGAATATTATGCAAATACACTAAAGCGAGATCCAAATTTAAATTAAAGTCCTCAGGCTTGAATTTCAAACACTTTTTTAATGTTTCAGCACACAACTTCATATTATTGTCTTGATAGCTGTATATAACTGCTAACATTCTTAAAAAAGACACATTTTCTGGTTCTTGTTCTATTGCTTTGTTCAATGCATTAGCTGCATTTTCGTAATCCTTAACCTTTTCATAGGCCATTCCCAAGTGAAAACAAGCATTCGTCCAATCCGGGTTAGTCTCTAAGAGTTGTTTATACTTCAAAATGGATTTTCCAAATTTACCGCTTTTATAATATACCTCTGCTAAATTGTTTAATGTTTCTGGATATTCTTTTGCACTGTTGAGGGCAATCTTAAACTCCTTTTTAGCCTCTTTTATTTTGTTTAGTCTTAATAACAGTTTTCCGTACTTATTACGTGTTTTATAAAATTCGGGTTTTAGGCTTAAAGCCCTGATATAAGCCACTTGGGCTGTGGTTAAGTCGTTAGTCTCAGATAAATAGTCAGCATAATTTGTCCACGCATCCGACCAATAAGGTTTTTTTGAACAAATTTTATATAATGATTCTTTAGCTACATCATTTTTGTATTTTTTACTCGCAACCAATGCAATGTTGCTTAAAACTTCGGTACAATTTGGATTAATGTTTTTTGCTTTTTCTAAATAATTATTACATTCTTCGTATTTGTCGCAATTTAAGAATGCATTAGCAATCAGTAGTAATATATTTAGATCTTTTGGTTTATGTATAAGTAAACTTTTACAAATTTTTTGCGTCAATATGAAATTTCTATTTAGGTGTTCGGATTTTGCAGAGTTTAGAAGCTCATCTAAAAAAATATATATATATACATATTATATTATATTATATATAATTTAAACATTGAAAGATAATTAATGTTAAGTTATTTCAGTAAATAAATTGGTAGAATAACAATTGATACAATTCAAACGATTTGATAATGCTGTAATTAATAAGTATATTTTGAAAATGTAAAATCTATTTTAAAGTAAATTTTATGTTCTCAAATTAACAATAATATGCTAGGTTTAAACAATATTTAAATATTGATACATATTCCATTTGTATTGACTCTTTAGTGGATATACATTTATATAATAACAGTTTTGGGGTTTTTCAAATTAATATAAGTAGTATTAAGGAACATTTCAATGATATCGTAGCCATATTAGGTTCAGTAAATAATTATTTAAGTGTTATTGTATTATGTGAAACCTAAATTTTGAATGATTTTGAATTTAAATTAAAAAAGTATAAAACTATTAACTCATAAGGAACATGAAATAAATAAGATTGTGTAACTGTATTGTTCAGAGAATCCCTAAACTTAATAATAGTTGAAAAACAATTAAAAAAAAATTGGTATTCATTACAACTTACTCTTAAAATGAAAAATGTATTCTCTCTGTTTTGTATTAGTAGATCAACTAATGATGATACAGATTTAAGAATTTATTTATTTGTTAATTTAAAATTGTTTTGATTTGCTTTTATCAATCATATAATTTATGCTTCTATATCTATTGATAAAAGCAAACCAAAACAATTGTTGAATCCAAAAACATGGATTATACCTGATATTAAACTAAGCAACATTGCAATATTGAACATAGTAAGAGATGACTTTTTTAGATTTCTAAAAAAACTTACTTAAAAATTTAAAAATTAAAAACCATTTATAATATTGTTCAATGTTTATTTATATTTGATTTATTTTCTACATTTCATATTTGTGTTATTTCATTCAGGACAATATAGAGAACATACAGCCATTATCATATTAATGATATTTATTCTTAATTTATATTATAAGAGCATAGAAGCATACATTGATTCATAATAATACATTAAACAGGAGGTATAATAGGTATGAGAACTGTGAGTGAATGTATAATTTCATCATTTTCCTATTAATTAAGGTATTTAAAATTTGTATTTTTTAGTTTGTTTAATATATCAACACGACAATACGTATCAAATATATAGATAAGTGTTTAAGTATTATGTCGAGCAAATTTTGGTGGCTCGTGAGACTTAGACCGCCTATTATTTAAATCAGGTAATAAATTATAATTTGGAAATTATGGAAATATCTGAATATCCTTAACTTAATCGAACATTTTCAAAAAGATCCTATACCAAAAATCGTTTATTTAATTATTTTTAAAAAAAGAGTATTTTTCTAGCCGTACAAAAATCCTGTGACTGTGTAAATATTGAGTTATTGCTTTAAAAACTAGAATTCTCAGGTATTCGTGGAGTTACTAATTACCTATTAAATTATATCTTAAGTGAAAGATTTCAAATACTTAATGTAAATGTTTTTTTTTAGTATGGCTATGTTATATGCTATAGGTAATATTGCAGTGTTGATTATAAATATAAATAGTAATATGGAATAATTAAGTTTTTGCTGATTAGTTTTTAATGTTTTACATGGACATAAGTTGCCTGTCTATTCTCTAAAATGTAATTTTAGTTTGAATACCAAATGTGACCCGAAATGTGTAAGACTTGAAAAGACTAATGAATTAAAATATCTTGGCTTAATAATAGATTACAGACTGAGACAGGCAATCGTTCTATGTGTTTCATGAAGGCAGGTAAATATTAGAAGCAAATTATAAAAGCATTATTTATTTACTATGAACATTTGTACTAGATATAATATGCAAAATGTTAATATACATTAACTGAAGCGTCAAAAAGTTTTTAGACAAAATAGCGCCATGTATACTGGTCTTGATTTATGTTGTATATAATATATTAATATTAATCAGTTTGAAAATTTTAAGTCATTCAAAATTTATCTTAATTTTATGGGTTTTTTAAAGATAATAGAATTATAATAAGGCTGTTATGTAAAATTGTACTTAATTAACAATTGTTTTTCAACTTTCTTGTATTCTTAAGGTGATGAGCTCCATACCAAAAGCTTTGCTTTTAAGGGGTGCTGCAATATGCATCCTACAGTTTTTTATGTCATTCTTATTATTATTATTATTATTATTATTATTATTATTATTCTCCTGGCCACCGTTGGAACACACCAAAACTAATGTAAGGTATTAGCAGTTTCATTGTTTCAATGACATTTCATTTTCATTCAAATTTTTTTATACAAATAAATAATATTTTGAATGGTACCAGAGTATCTTGAGTTTGTTAAAAAAATATTGTTATATAAAGCAAAGTGAGTGTTGAATCAGTTTATACAGAAAATTAACTTACAATGTACGTATACATTTTTAGTTGTATATTTCATTTATAAATATGGTGGGAAGTTTACATTATATTTTATTAAGCCGAGGTACACTTGGAGCAGGTTAAAAAAAAAAAATGGTTATTTGGTCATAGCTTATATAGGCTCATCTAAATATAACATATCAATAGATAGTATTGATAATAATTATAACTTACCTAGGCGTTTGCTATATATCTAAAAAAAAAAAATATAAATAATTACATAAATATAATCTAAAAATTTGTATGTTATTAATTTATACCTCCATAGCTTCATAAAGCTGCGTTAGTGTATCTCCTGACATTTTAATCGAGCTTGCTTTGCCAAGGGTGGTGCCAGCCAAATCCTTCACTTTGGTAAACCCTAATTTGCCAAATTCATTGGAGATATGTGTAAATCTTAAAAAAAGAACAAGAATATATACATAAACATGGTAATATTAAGAATATTTGTAAAATATTTACTTTGTTGTGTCTTTTTGTGATATGATACTTATTATAATCGTAATCGGTGCATCGGAGTCGGAATGTTTCGGACAAAATACATCCTGTAAGTGTTATAATGATTATTTGATGAATAAATTTAATGTATATTTATTTATAATTAATCAAATGGGTTTAATACACATCTTTTGTCTTAAAAGTAAAGTACATGGCAAAATAATGTTCATGGGCTCATATTTATCTTTATTAGACTGCTATTATGTGAATTAAAATTATATATGAGGTGAATCTATTTATCATTAGAGTACTTATCAATTTAGTAACTAGAGTTCTTTTAAATATCAAATTGAAAAACAGTGATTAAAATGAAATCATAGCTCGTTCGAATGTCACATAAACTTCCCATATTCGTCATAGTTGAATTATTAATATATTACTTACCAATGATGACGAACTCATAGTTTCAAATATTATTAATCAATTGATTTTTTTTTCAAATAAAGACAGAAGAAAATGATTCACATAAACTTTCGACCAAGACTGTTGTCAATCAACTGTAAAATAAAACATATATTGTAATAAGTAGGTACATTAGAATGAATATAATATAAATATACTATCATATCTAATTGTTAACAGCATATTAAAATAGTGAATTTAGTAATGTCATCTAACACACACTACTCATACTCACTATAGGACAACGACGAGGTGGTGATCCAAAGAATATGGCGTCAAAACTTAAAAGCACTCAGCACAGAATGTTTTACAGTTATGTCAGTCGCTGTAGCAGACACATAGAAGTTTAGGACTTACTATAGTTCCGGATTCTAGTACTACGGTCAGCTTTGAAGTATTAAAGTCCAGTGAAAAAGCAAGGATAAAGAAAATAAATTGTAAGACTATATTGGAAATTTGGAAACTCGTAGGTGAATAAAATATGTTCATATAGGTTATGGAGACGTATACAATTATAAAAACGTCATTGGTCCATGATCCGTGAGACGTGGCTGCAGTTGCTGACGTGGCTGGTGTGCAGCTACAGATATCTATACTGGCTAGATAAGGTACTCCTATATTTTTTACATTGTTATCAAGTGAAGCTCAGCTGTTGACGGACGCCATTTTCTCGGGGGGCAAAACACTTTATTCATTATACAAAATGTGTTAGGAATAGCATCCTTTTAATGGCAAAATAAAATAGTAAATGTAATATTACTTCTAGAATTTTTTTTTTTTAAACTACAGTTTTAGAAATAATAAAATGCAAAACAAAATAAATCATAATTAATCTTATTTGTCATAATATGAAATAAAATACAATTGCCCACCGACCTTGATGCTTCAATTCAAGGTGGGAGTTCGCTATCTAGTACTATATAGATATCTGTGTGTGCAGCCGACGCAATCTCCAAGAGTGGTATAAATGTCCTTATTTACAAAAAATTATTATATACTATTGGCGGAAATTTTGAATTTTTATAGGTGCTCTGATTCTTGTTTATATCGTTTAATATAATAAATTACGACGAAAGCTTATAACTTATAAATTATGAATTTCTGTACAGAAACTTAGTCGGGAAGGATGTCCTATGCACAGTTCCCATATGTCCTGTATACCCATATAATCATTCATCAGTGTTGCTATATATACCAATTACGGCATATTATTTAATTACCTATAATTTATATGTGGGTACGTTGTCTTATGATAGAAGTATTAAACGTTGCTAATTAGTGTGTGTATTAATATATGGTATAATTAATCATACTGTTGGTAGTGTTCACCATTAGCCTAACCTAACCATTTAGATGTTACGCTGCTTAATGCCAATTCATTATTATATAATACATATTTTAGACGGCATAAAATTATCTTTTTTTTTTTTAAATACACATTTGAAAATACATACAAAGTACCTAACAAATACCAACAAAACTGAAAACGTTATTATAATATAAAATAAGTAATAATTAATTGTTATATGTTTATATAATTACCCTTTTCACTTAATTTTGTAGAATAACGTATTTAAAATGTTGAATTATTTATCTATGTAACTGCTAAATAGGTTCAATATAAATATATGCCTTTAATGAGTAGGTATAAAAACAAAGTAAATAATTGCGTTATTATTTGTATTAACTTTTTTTTCTTGATAACTTTAGCTTATTATGATTGATTAAAGATTCCATGTTATATAAAAAAATTAAAATTATTTTGATCATCGTGTCCTAGCAAAAACTTTTATCTTTCGTGTTCAATATAATCACCGCCTTCAATATAATTAAGCAATAATTAAGTAATTATACATAGCTATACATTTTTGTGATTTTGATATATTTTAATATATATTTTTACTTCAAATGCTTATATAAATAAAATCGTCATAACATATATTTAATATTTTTAAATAGCTATAGGAAAAACCTTGGAACATAATATTAATTTCAGTTATTTTTACAGACATTTTAAGTTCAAACTTGGAAAAAATTACATATTAAAAAACCAAGAATTACGATTTTGGTTATTTAGTTGTAAATAAAAAAAAAAAAAATAACATCAACATTTTCTGGGTTGAGACAAATCTTTATGGTGTTCAAAGTAATTCAACCTGAAATAAAAAAAAATATATTACATAATTATTATTAAAATCAATTATAATGGGTACCTAGCTGATTAAATGTTTAAGTAAAAAACATGATAATAATACTAGTTAACAAAGTGCTTTTAAAGAATTTAGTTAAAGAATAAAGTAAAATTACAAATGATTTATTTCAAAAAAATCGGAAAACATACCATAATTAAATCCTTGTTTTTAAGAATTTTTTTTATTATTACCTAAATATTAACAATAATTGTAGTAAGAAATTAAAAAAAAAAAAGGTATTGTTTTAAATACTGATTTTAAATAGTTTACCAAAGAAAACCCTACATTGCATATTATTTTCAAGTTTAAGCATACTATTAAATGGTAAATGTAAATATTTTAAATTTATTTTAAGTTGAAATTAAACGTCTTATACGTATTATACATATGTTTCTTATTGTAACATGTATATACATTAATAAGGTCATTGAAGTAAAAGGAAATCGTATTTTCTGAAAATATTACCAATAAAAAGGATTATTTAGACATATTTTTAGAGGGTCTTTTTATAGCTTTTTTAAACTTATAGTTGTGTTGATTAATTGTTACTTTTTAAGAGCCAAATCGTCATGTCCCAGTTTATACAATGCTAGGCCCATTTTCCAATGACCAAATTCATTCTCCGGGTTCATAAGTACCGCACAACCAAATGAGTTTCTTGCATTTTCATAATCATCCTTTTCCAGATACAAATCCCCCATGGACATGCAAGCATCGGACGCATTTAAATGATCTTTAGTTTTTCTGTATGAATCAAAAAGCTTTTCGTATACATCAATTCTATCCGGCTTTAATTGGCTACATTTTTAAGATAAATTACAGCTTCGTGATAATAATTTATAAAATATTTTGATATCGACAGCTAATAAACATTAATTTAATGCAATGTTTAATGCACCTCAATGAAATTGTTCGGTGCATCCGAGTTGGATGCTTCTAAGTATTTGCGGCCGTTATTTTTAAATTGGATAAAAAAAATTGGTAGTTATTAACTTAATTAACCGCTTTCAACGTTTATCCAAATTACTTCGGATCCAATTCACCTAGTTGGGGCCTCATTTTTTCTCGTACCTACCTTACTTTTACCCACTAGTTAGATCCCCTATTTTTTCTGGTCATTATTACACTAAATGGGACCAATATGTTTTTGGTTTGCACTGAGTAGTAGTACTACTTACACTACACCAACATTTTCCTTCCTATTTTAACAACTTCAAACCGTCTGTTTCGTGTCGTAATCCGTGGATACATTAACTATAGTTTACCGGTAATCGCAAACTCATAATTTATATTATATTTCATTTCTCTACGGCTCAACGCCACCATGGCATACCTAATTAAACATTTTAATTATTTATATCCGTCGACTTGGTAAGTGGTAAATAAAGAGGTAAATAATTAAATTTCCTTTGTCTTAGTTCGTGTAGATTTCTAGGAAAATGTAACTAGTAATACATTAATAAAACGGGTTTGGTCTGTAACAAAAATATTCAAATCGATAAAATAATTGTTCATAATTATTAACCAATCCTGATTTCATGTCGAATATATTCAATTGAAAATTATTATTACTTAATATACAATTCAATAAAAATTAGATTTTATAATCAACTTCTTTTAATCTTTTATTAGTATTATAAATATTCTAATTGACAAATAAATTTAAATAATGGACTATAGCGATTTAATCACATAATTACACCACAATAATTCAAGAGTTAGGATTTTTATTCAACTATACCTATTTTATATTAATGTTTTGTCAGAAACAGTTATGGTGAATGGTGATGTTTTCGCAGACATTTTGATGTTATTGTTTGTTATTAAACGAAATAAAAAGTTCCACATGAGTCAATGTTAGTGGGAATTAAAAAAAAAGTTTACTGTAAATCCACAATAATTTTCTATTGTTGAAAAAATTTACAAATACACTAAAAAACATAAATTATTTTGTGTTAGGAATTCGTAGAAACTAATCTATTTATATCTTTTTTTTATAGCTAGACATTGGATAATTCTCCACCCATAAATTAACAAATTCTCATACGGTATTTTTATTTTGTCATTATTCAAAAACTAACTGAAGTTGTCTTTGTTTTATTTTATCATTTTCTACGAATGACAATATTTTCATAATATTGTAACTCGTTTTGAATAATTTAGGGACATTTGAAATTTGAATTTTTTTTCTTTTTTTCTTCTATAAATATCAATTAAATTTGATATCGGTATTACACGAAATTTGTCCAATATCTTTACTGTTTAGTTGTACTCTTTACACTATACCAACATTTTCATTCCTATTTTAACAACTTCAGGCTGTCTGATTTGTGTAGTAATTCGTGGATACATTTAAAAAAATGTACATTATACTATAAAATACATTGACTACCTTATTTGTACTATTGTAAATTCAATTTTTTTAAAAATAAATTTGTGTTAGAATGAAGGCTCTACCTATAACGTTGCAAGTAGTAGCAAGTATAATGCACAAGCACTATAGCGACCAGTCTATCTTATCCATAGATAATATAAGAATGGATAGGACCACGAACTACTACATAGGACTGGACACTGCATAAAATATCTAAGGTGGCTACAAAGTTGTACGGTGGTCGTACGTTCGCTACGTAATTGCTCTCTAGACTCTAGTGGCATTATTTTATACTGTACTGTTGTAAATTGTTTTATGTGATAATTCGTACAGTCGTAGTGACTTATAGTCACTATATAGTAATAACTGAATAAGAATCAAAAATTAAAAAATTAAAATCAATGTCAAACTTTTTATATATTATATTCACTATT